GTCTGAGAAAGAAAGTTAGAGGCAAATACTGAGCTGAATTTGAAATAGCATTAGTTTTTTCATCTGTTGCATTAAGTAGAAAAAATACTGTTTCCTTATGAGCTGAAGAAAGTCTGCATCAGTGGTTGTGATAGTCATGATTTATTGTGAATGTCAGAATATTCTTACAGGTTTGTGTATTTTATTGTGTGTAATCAGTCGGCCGATTAATCTGGCTGATTATTTGGCATTTTGAGATAATCGGCATCGGCCAACAATGTCTTCAGACACGTCTGCAGGCAGCTTTGTCAGTGTGCCTGCTGGGGAACGACTTTAGTGCTCCCCCTTTTTGGGAAGATGGTGACAAAGTTGGTTTTGAACCCTGCACTTTAACTCGTAAGTGCAGCGCAGTAAACATATGCCTGAATTTCCTGTAGTGATCAATTATACAGTCCTTTTCTGTGTGTTCTTGTATCAAATTCATCTTATCGGCAGCATCTTCTCTATAATAGCTCTGGATTAATAAAGTCACATCGTTGGAACTATATTTACACTATAGCATTAAAACCAGATTATTTGTGTATGTTCGTGCATTTGTGTTGTTTATACCTATGAATTTGTAAATGTATTTTTATGTTTTGTTTTAGGACTTGATGTGACATGACTCTCATCTTTATTAAAGCACTACATTCAGTGTCAGAAAAGTGCTATACAACTTTACTAACAGTTATTATTCATTATTATAGCAGTGTCCAGGCCTAGCCCTTGAAAGCTCTTCCTCCATCCCTGTACGTTGAATTGTTGGGCTGGTTTGTGGAATGCGTACCTCATCAATTCTTCTGCTGCCTGTTGTATCGCGTACAGACCGTCTAACAGGTGAGAGCGCTTCTTCTACTGCTATTATTATTAAAACAACACAGTATATAATAATATAACTTTAACAAGCTTACAATACATAAACCATGTAAACAACAAATGTCTTTTTCTTCAGAGGTTCAATGGTTTATCAGGTTGGTTGAACACTTCTTCCCTCTCATTTTGAACCAGAACATTAGCATTACATGTATCTTATTTAAATGTGTTGTATTGCTTCCATGTTGTTAGTCAAGACCCCAGTCTGAGAGGCATCCAATCAGGACTCCTAACCAAAATCAATGTGGTCAACGGCGAATGAAGCTCCCACGTCATGATATTCCACCTCCTTCCCCATGTTCAGCATTTAAACCTAATCTTTGTTTTATAGTGTATAGTATTCACCACCAATATTTAAAGACCACATTTTTAAAAAAGGATCTTTAAAATAACGTATCATAAGTTTAAGTGAGATTACCTTTGACGCTTTGCTTGATGTTCACTGCTCTGTAGGTGATGCTCCTCTGTATGAATCAATCAAAAGGCTCTGAAGACACTGAAAAACGGCTACACGTTCATGCGCCAACCACACTGTAAAAAAAATACACTACGATCAAATTTAAGTCTGTTCTGAAAATAATCAAGATAGTTTTAAAACAAAGATGAATTACTGTTGAATGAATATTATGTGAATATTCTTGTTTCTAGATAATGTTCAGAGCTTTTTTACCAAACCCCAAGATCTTGAACCTGCCAATCCCTATTCAATTTGGAGATACTGTGCTAACTATCATGACTTTGGTGACCCTCCTGTCTTTTCCCCCTCTAGGCACGCACCCAGCAGGGAAAAATTAAAATGTAAATCCAGGCTGTGTGGTTTAATGAACATTCACATGCAGTGGTTGCTTGTACTTTGTGTTAGAGCTCTGTTTGGTACCTGCAGCCTCACCAGGTCTGCTAGCATTGGCTGTAAGACTCCCTGTTTATTAAACAGTGAACGTTTGTTCAAAACTAATCCACCTTCGCCAATGAACACAGTTGAACAATAATGGATGTAGTTAGTTTAAAGTTAATTCCCTGTTTCATGAAGTTCCTACATTATCTTGCTAAGCACAAAATGTATGGTATGTGCTTATTCTTGATTTATATTACTTTCATCCATTGGAGAAAAGGGTGTTTGGTCTGATGTTATTCTGAGATTAGAGGTTTAGGCTATAAAAGGTTTTGCTGTGGCAGACACAACTGCATGATTTAAAGGGACCCTGATATGAATGACTGGCATAAAATCTGTAATCAAAAATATGTAGCTCTATTTCAGATGCAGGTAAGAATCCCAAGGATGTCACCTATTTCTTCGATTGAACTTAAAAAGCTTTGGATAAGAAAAGTGACAGTAAGCCCTACTTTAAATCCCTTACAATATATAAAAAATAGATTAGAGATGATCTTGGAGCTGCGTAATCTAAAGAATAATGTTTTTTTCTTTTTCGAAAAAATCTGATTATTTTAGCCAAAAAGGGAAGCAACATGAACCAGAGGAAAGAGCTATTTACACCTTCCTGATGTGAAAACAGCAACCTGCAGGTAGCAGTCATCTTCCAACGCATCATCACTGCAGAATCCTGTAATATGAAATGTGTCGTATCACTTACACCAGGGAGTCCCATTATGGGGTCAGCAATGCACTTCAACTAATGTCACCTTGGTAACATACCTACATC